GGTGAATTTGTTTGATTTTTTATTTGACAAACATGTAAAATACAATAAAAATAAATGAGAATCAGCATGAGGAAGTTTGTCCCAGATGCCCACAGATGTTTCCACCACGGGGGAAACATGAGACTCTCCATGTGGATGTTTTCATATTTACATGTTTAATGTGTTTCTAGTCCAGAGATTCTCAAACGGTTTGAGCCACGACCCCCAAGACAACATCAGTCTGTGTTCATGACCCCCAGTTTGAATTATTGCTATCTCATCAGTAATAACTAAGGTGTTAATTCCACTGATTGATCTCTCTACATGTTGATTTTCTTTTGAATGAATAAACTGAAATTATTTCAAACAAATTAAAGAGAAAAAAATATAAAAACAAAAGAAAATAATTTTTTAAAGAGCATTAAAAAAGAATAATAATAATATCACATAATCAAACCACATTAAGTTCAAAAAAGGAGTGAGAACAAGTCTACACTTCTAATGCTGACAGCCCTGACACACATTTATCTGATAAATGTAGGCTGTATTTTTATTTTTATTTATTTCCACTGATCTGGTGACCTCCTGAAATGATCTGGGGACCTCCACAGGGTCCTGACCCCCAGTTTGAGAACCACCGCTCTACAGGACGCTGCTCCGTCTGAAGGCTGCAGTAGAACAACTCCAGCTGTGGGTTTAATGTGGATTATGTGAATACTGCCTTAAATATGTAGAATGAATGAATGAATGAATGAATGAATGAATGGATGGATGAATGGATGGATGGATGAATGCTGCTCAGAAACCACGTCAACATGTTTAACTCTAAATAAATCCAATGACTCGTCCAGGGTAATGATGGGTAAACTGTTTAACACGACAGCCCAGGTTCTGGACTCCAGCCGAGGTTCTGGACTCCAGCAGGTCCACTCAGAGTGTTCTGAGCCGAGCACATGCTGTTGTTTTACTGCTGTAGCCTGACTCTGCGGGTTTGTCTGATGCTGTTCAGGTCTTTACTCCCGTTGCTGCGTCTCTGTGACGTTTTACATGATCTTCGTTTGTTTTCATGTATGAAGACATTAGATGTTGTTTCTGCTCGAGGTCCAAACCCAGAGGGCTCTGATGTAATCTGTCAAATTGCTCCGTTTCTATAATCTGTTTTCCAAACATTCGAGCCTTAATCTGTAAATTACCAGATAACGGCGGCGCAGGAGGAGGACGTTCGGCCTCCGGAGCCGGAGCACCGTTCAGTGGACGCTGTTTATATTCTGGCGGCCGGGTCCATGTGAGCGGTTTGACCCGTCTGGCGGCGCCGTCGACCTCGGCGGTGTGAAGCGGCTGTCAGACTGACCCAGAAAGCCGAGACGCTGCGCAGATCTCATTCGTTTTCCGGGGATTTTCGGCGCAGATTACAAAGGCTCTACCCCATTTGTTTTGTAACAAGCATGTGAAGTCAGAACTAATACGGACGCCGCCGCCGCCGCCGCGCTCGACTTCTAAATGCCAGGGGACCTTTTTAGAGGCTTAGGGCTGTTGAGCACATCCAACGCTGAGGGAGCAGAAGCCCCGCTAAGCTGCAGGCCAAAGTACTTCTTTGATTGTTTGTTCAAAATCTCCTCCAAAAGCCACGGAACAAAAACGGAGGACGGATTATCCCCTTTCAGAGAGGAAATGAAATTCTTCAGACGAGGCACTTAAACAGGTTCCAGGATGAGGCCGTCCGGGCGGCCAAACACGACGTCTACAACCTGCTCGCTCCCATCATTTAGAGATTCATCCACAGAGAACGTAGTGGAGCGTTTAATGAGGCCAGACAGAGGCTGGGAAGCTCATGAAGTCGCTGGTGGAGACACAACGGAGGCTGTTCCTACATCTCACCAAACAACTGGTCAGAGAGGCACCTTCAGCCAAAGCCATGTGGTCCATCTGCTGTCCACCACCCCCTCAGACCAGGTCTACAGGTAGATGGTTGTCTTCCCTGAGCCTGGTTCTGTCCGAGGCTTTTTCTCTCCTATCCATTAATTTTTTTGGTTCCTTCCCACCACTGACTGCTCCCTCATAGGGACCGCTGGGTTCTCTGTTCTCTAAGACCTTCCTGTGTGAAGCGCTGGGAGATGATAGATGCTGAGAGTCGGTGCGATACGAATAAAACTCATCCTTTCAGTTTGTCTTGCGCTCACCCAGAACCGGGTTGTGGTGGTAGTAGACCAGGCAGGGGATTCCACATGTTCCAGCTTCTCCTGGTGGATCCTGAGGTGTTCCCGGGCCAGAGGAGGTCTGCTACACCTCCAGCATCATGAGGTTTCAACCCAGTTTCCTGGAAAACCTCCAAACACAGGAGTCCAGGAGAGATCCACCACCTCAACCGGATGCTGTCGAGGTGAAGGAGCAGCGACTCTCCAGAACTTCTGACCTCGTCTCCAGCGACTCTCCAGAACTTCTGACCTCGTCTCCAGCGACTCTACCAAGAAAACCACCTCCAGCTGCTGTAATTAGGAAGAGGGAGCTGGAAGGGACATGCTGCAGTCCACCTGGGGACTCCTTGTAGACGGCGTTTGCCCGCTCGTGCATCTTCTGATATTATAGAGACCAAAACTCATCATCAGGACATGAAGCGATCAGGAGATATTTGCTGGCTGCTGCCCTGCAGGAAGCACGACGACCTCTCAGCCAGCAGATGAACAAACAGGGAAGGACTCCACATGTTCTGGTGATTCTCTGCTTCACATGCAGCTCGTATATAAGGCCAGGATTCATCATGTTTCCTGGACGTGTAGCAGCTGTTTGATGTGAATAGAAACACGTTGACTTCTTGTTTTTGTGATCTGACTCATTTGCTGAAGCTGTTTTCTAATTTAACGTTCGCTTCGTTGTAAAGAACTTTAATTCTGCTTTAATGAAGCTACGACGGCCGAGCGAGCCGCATCCATTAAGAACCCGTCTGGAGGGAATCGTTCAGGTCGCAACTGAATCTCAGATGAAAGCTGAGTCATGAGCGTCTGCTTTAGCCTGAGAGACGCACCACGTGTGACCGTCGCCGTTCACCAGGAAGCTGCTGAGAGGAGCTGCTCCTGCTGCTCCTGCTGCTCCTGCTGCTGCTCCTGCTGCTCCTGCTGCTCCTGCTGCTGCTCCTGCTGCTCCTGCTGCTGCTCCTGCTCCTGCTGCTGCTCCTGCTGCTCCTGCTGCTCCTGCAGTCGGACGCTGGGTCGGAGCCCGCGGACGTCCACCTCGTTGACCCACTAGGCCCTCCCCTCAGCCGGATCTGCTTCCCCTCGCCGGGTTCTAAACACTGATCAATGAGTAGTGGTCTGGAAAAGAGGGCGAGCTGGGTCCTATTAGCAGTTTGGGAGACCAGGCGGGTCCTTCGGTATCGGGGTCAGGAGTCCGTTGGCCTCCTAACACGCTGCGACTCTGCCGGACTCCCAGCTGTCTCCTCGCCTCAGAATCAGGCGGCGGCCCGCAGCGCCGCTCATTCATTTGAATATTTTCTGGGCTGATGAGGATGCGAGGGCGGCGAACTGCGGGCCAAAAGACGAACATGATTGCAGGGGACAAAATAATGACCAGTTGCCGCAAAGTTGCTAAAGTGTGTCATCCATTGTTACGCAAGCGGCAGCATGTGGCTGCAGCAGACATTAGGGGGTTTGTGCCGTTTGCCAACAGACTGGACCGGAACACCGTCGTGGGCCGAGACGAGACGTGATGCTGCTTACGCAACGCCCCGGTTCTGGTTCTGGTTACAGAAGAGCAGAACTGTGTGATCAAATGGACTGACGGAGCTTCGATCAGCCGAGAAAACATGGAAACGAGACGCAAAGATGCTGGATGAGCTCAACGCCACAATAAGGGACTTCTACACAACATGGTCACGCTTTGGGCTGTTTGTCGAGCTGATATCTAGACGCAGAACAGCCTCAAAGAGACGCAGAACAGCCTCAAAGAGACGCAAAACAGCCTCAAAGAGACGCAGAACAGCCTCAAAGAGACGCAAAACAGCCTCAAAGAGACGCAAAACGACCTCAAAGAGACGAAACACGACCGCAAAGAGACACAAAACGACCTCAAAGAGACACAAAACGACCTCAAAGAGACCCAAAACAACCTCAAAGAGACGCAAAACGACCTCAAAGAGATGCAAAACAACCAACAAACAGAGAAATTACTACAAAAAGATGAAAACAACCTCAAACACTGAAGATGTGACGAAGACTGAGAACATCTTAAAACAACTTTTTTCCGTCTCAGATAATCAGATTACTTCTTTTCAGACATCTCTGATTTGATTGGAACGATTTTTTCTCATGAACTAGATGTTTACGATGCTACCTGTGAAACTTTAGGTGGACTTATTGAGGGTTTTTAGAGATTTTACTATTTTTTTCGGACCCACTTTCAACACGTTTTGTTTTTTTCCGTTCATTGAAACTTGAGGCCGTTTGAACGACGATATCTGAGGAACTACTGAAGATAAAAACCTGAAGTCTCACTGTTGTTTCTCATCACGTCACTGATTTAGAGTCTGGACACGTTGATCAAAAAGCTTCTGATTACGAGTGACTTTAAATATGAGGAAAGTCACATCTTTGAGCACGAACTAGAAAACACTTATCTGTGCTGCAGAGGATGGACCATGATGTCCTACAGCAGATGTTGAAGGCACCTCTTTATTCAGAGACTTTATCCAGCTCCCTACCTGACTCTGTCTTACCGGTTCTGTAAACGGAGTCGAGGCTTGGTGTTTGCAGGTCAGAAGGTCACCAGCAGGAGGTCTCCCATGAGGCCTGGAGGTCTGAGACACACTAATGCAGATCTGCAGCCTGGAGAAGCAAACGGAGGCAAATGAACAGCTGGATGATGCTTTAAATCAAACAGACGGTCTTAGAATACGTCTCATCTGCCTCCTTCTTCTGCTGGACATCTCTGCTGGCTTCAGCTCCTGCTCAAACACACAAACCTCCACAGAAACAACAAGAGAAAGGTTCCAGTTCTCATTCAGTAAAGAAGCACCACAGGAGCAGACGATGAGCAGAACAGCTTCCAGGACCTGTTTTAATGACCACAGCTTCTTTAAAACAGAAAATAAAGAGTCTCCGTCTGCTCGTCGACGTCGCGGCCGCACAGCAGAGCACAAAGTTTAATGAATAAAAATCAGAACAGGTCCAGTCTTCACCTGATACAGAACATTAAAGGGGGAATAAAACAGAAGGAGGAGAGGACGGGTCGGTCTGGAGGTCCAGAACCAGCAACAAGTCTGATGAATGAACTAAAAGGAACTGAAAGGCTTCTGCTCTGGACCGCCGCCTCCTGGACTTCACGCTCCTGGACAGCTGAACAGGAACCTCACGTCGGTTCTGAGTGTCAGGGATAGGGTTCTGCTGTTTCTGGGATTCTTTAGCTCAGAACACGGAGCTTCAAACCAAAGGATCACAGTCTGACTGAAAGCTGTGAGATTTTCCAAACCAGAACCAAAAAACAAGTCAGAAAGAAACTCTGAGCTCATCTCTGGTGTTCGATGAGACTCATTAGAACATTTATACGTTTTCTTTTTTCCAACAAAAATAGACAAACTCCTGTCTGAAAATGTCAAAACTATGGGATGGTTTCAGAGTAACTCAACCCAGCATGGAACCACAAACTGATTCTGATGTGCAGGTGGACCAGATCAGTCCTCCTGAATGTTCACTAACTGCTTGTCTCGCTCGCAAATTAAAAAGAATAAAGAAAAACACCTTTAAGGTCATTTTAACACATAAAACACTTGATTCTGGCTTCAAATCCCAGAGAAGTGATCCCACATGAACCCTGATTTAAATGAAGCTGCAGCTCCGTTGTTCAGGAGCGTCAGAGAGACGGCCGGTCGGTCGATGAAGGTTCTAACGTCCCACAAACCAAATAAACACAAGACCCACAAACAACCCAGATGATGATCAGCTTGAGCTCTGAAGGGTTGAGCTGCAGCTTCCTGACTGAGCTGCTTGTCTAAAGAGAGAATTCCTAATAATCAATAATAACCAGCAATAATCAATAATAATCAATAACAATCAATAATAATCAATAATAACCAGTAATAATCAATAACAATCAATAATAATCAATAATAATCATTAATAATCAATAATAATGGGTAACAAACTCACACCGTTTTCATTCTGGACAGACGTAAAAACAGACAGTAAAAGTAAAAGACTTTCAGTTTGGTTCTGAAGCGGCCACTGAGCGCTGACAGTCCAACTGGACCCTGCAGAACCACGACAGCACATTTCTATCTTCTGGGAACCTTCTAGTTTTCAACCTTTCCTTCGTCCACTTGTCCGATGCAGGTGTTTCTCTCTGACCCGTTTTTAATGCTTAGAACTAACAGTTGGATTTGGTACGGTTCTGGTGTTCTTGCAGCGTTTCATGTCACAGAATGAGCAGAAGGAGGTGAACAGATGTGGGCCCACAGCGTTCTGACGGTTGGACCTCCACAGATCCTCATAAACAAAAGAGACCCAGAGATGAAGAACCCGCCATCCTGGTCCCGCTGGCAGCCCAGTAAACCCCACAGCTGTGTTCTGACACCAGACGTATGGATCTGAGTCCAGAACAAAGGAACCGTTGCAGCCGTTGGACCCAATCTTTCAAACATCTGAACCCAGGATCAGCTCATGTTTTTGTTCAAGTGTGTGAAAGTAGTGAAGCAGTTCTGTCCTGGTCCGGTCAGGGTTGGTACTGTCTGTACTGTGACTGTGGAGCCAGAGGGTTGCTGGTTCCGAAGCGGAGCGGCGCTGTCGACCCGCTGAAGGCAGTTCTGTAACTCTGAGAGGAAGGCACCGAGCTCCCCGCCACGCCCAGTCCGAACCCGGCCCCCAGCCCCTGAACGCCCAGTCCCAGGCCGGCACCGGGCCGCGCCAGGCCCTGACCCAGCATCCCCGCGTAGGGCGGCGCTCCGTAGGCGAGTCCCAGGCCTCCGTAGGGCCTGTGGGCCTGGTGACCCGGAGCCGGCAGAACCACCGGCTGCACGTTCCTGCCCGGCGTGTCGAAGGAGAACTCCGGTGGAGGGCTGCTGGGTTTGGACGGCGTGGAGGTCAGCGGGTCGAGTTCTGCCCCGGAGGACAGCAGCAGAGGAGGCAGAGAGGAGGACAGGGAGGAGTAGCCGTCAGCAGAACCCGGAGCAGCCGGGGAGGCGGTGAGGGTGCCGGTCAGGAGAGGCCGGGTCCAGTCGTCTTTGAAGATCTGGACGGTCAACGTGGAGACGAGCGGCAGCAGCCGGTTGGTGACGTGGGCCAGAACCAGCTGCTCGTTGGCGTCACGGCGGATCCGCACATGGGCAGAACCGGCCTGGAACACAAGAACGGAAGGAAGAGCTTTAACAGAACTGGCAGAAGGTTCAGCCACAAAACCAGCCAGATTAAAAATGAAAGTTCACCCCGACCCGACCCGTCAGGTTCATGTTTCTGTGCAAACGTATGATTTTAAGCAAAAAAGTTCTGGTCAGAGGTTAGAACTTTATGAACTAAAGTTCTGAAAGAAGCTGGAGAATCATCGTCTTTGTGCCGCTCTGTGGACCAAGAAATAAAGGGAGCTGGGTCGTGAAGTTCTGAAGGTTCATCGATACGTACGTCTGGTCCTCAACCTGCTCTGACGGAATAAAACCAGAACCATCCATCCATCATCTCTACACCTTAATCCTCACCAGGGTCATGGGGGGCGGAGTCTATCCCAGCTGACTCAGGGTGAAGGCAGGTTCACCTGGACAGGTAACCAGTCTATCACAGGGCTACACTTAGAGACAGACAACCAAGCACACTCACATTCACACCTACGGACAATTTACAATCACCAATTAACCTCAGCATGTTTCTGGACTGTGGGAGGAAGCCGGAGAACCCGGAGAGAACCCACACTGCACGGGGAGAACATGGAGACTCCACGCAGGAAGATCCCGGGTGTCCTCACCGGGACGCCAACCGGCGACCTTCTAGCTGTGAGGTGCTAACGATGTTAACGATGCTAACCACAGCGCCACCTGCAGTCCGTGTATCAGAGGAAACTAATTCAAATGCTCATAGTTGAGCCTCTGATCAGTGTTTTGTCCTGTTTGGTACCATCTGTGGGTGTTTGGGTCAATGTTGTACGAGTTAATATCAGAACTAATCAAAGACAGCTCCTGTTTCCTGATGATGTGTCAGTTCTCTGTTCTTCTGGTTCTGGTGGTTCTGTTTCCATAAAGATTTTATGTTACATTGAAGCAAAAGAACAGCCCAGAAACTGCTGCTGGAGTTTAGAGGGTGAAGAGTTATGAAAGCCGAGGACCAGACGGACTAGAAGGAGGCTCTAATGTGCTCTTTATATATCTGGTACCAGGTTCTGGTTCAGACTGAGACGCTGCAGAAGTCGTTTCTGATTGAAAAGTGCAGATTTGTCCCCAACCTTGAATCTGGGCCCGACATCGCCAGACTGAGGTCTCATTTTGTCCTCGTTTTGCTGTCCTCATGGGAATATTCAGACCTCGAAAGGACAGAGTCACACAAACGCACGGCCCGGCGCACACAGCGAGTCGGCCCGCGGGGCACGAGTGCAGTCAGAGGGTCAAATCAGTTTGGACAGCTGCTCTGTTAGCAGTGGGCCAACAACCAACAGTTGTGTAACTGCAGCAGCATCACGGACGACAACAGGAGCAGCGGCATCGATAACACAAACAAAAACAAAACAAACAGCGGGAGGGAGGGAGGGAGGGAGGGGAGGGGGGCGCTGCTCCACCTACAGGCCGCCGGAGGAACAGCTGCTACCTGAGCAGCCCACAGAGACGTCGCAGGACTCACTTGCATAACCGGCGCGTCACTCCGCCGCCGCCTCGCTGTTCTTAAAGCTGCAAACTCGCCGCAGCACAAAACAGAGACGCTACAGACCGAGGACAGGACGCAGTGTGCTCCTGCATCTCCTCACCAGCATCTGAAGGATGCTTCAGTCAGCGTCAGGCAGGTGAGCAGCTGCTTCATGCCTCAGGAGCATCACATCCACACATGCAACACAAACTAAATGCAGCAAAAGAGGCTGATGTACAGAAACCTGCCCTCTGTGAAGGTTGAATGCTGCAGGAGGACTCTATGGAGGTGGAACAGCTGTTGTGATCTTCTATTACTCCTGAATGTTCCTGCTGCACAACACTGGAGACAACCCACATTCTGTTGTTCTGTCACATACATCAGAACAACGTGATGTGGACTGATGCTCTAGAATCACTGGGATGACTTCTGCATGTGCACACAGACCAAAAACTAACTGCATAAAAGCTGGAGAAGTTTCTCTTATGATGTAACACGTGTGTCGTGCTTCGGGTAGATGTCCTGATCTGACTTCGTACTTGTCTTTATAAGAACTATGTGGATTAAAAAAACGCTAAAATCTGAATAAATTCAGCTTCAATCAGCTCTGTTCACACATGGAACACTGAATATTCATCTCACCTTAACGTTCAGACACAACAGTGATCAGGTTGTTTCTGACTTATTGAACAGTGACGACTTCACCACCAGTGAAACACAAACACCTCCTCAGACGTCAGCTGCAGCTGATGAACCCGTCAGATGCTGATCCATCCTGTCTGCATGTCGGGGATCACGTCGAGGTAATGAATCAGGCTGATGAGCACAGCTGTGTGTCTTTGCTCGTATGGATCCTAGCGTCTGTTCATCCTGCTGCCATGAATCATAAACCAACACCGGACGGCTGTCGATGATGCACCCTGTGCCTTCTGAAGGTAACGGCTGGATCGATCACATCTGGACTCTGCAGAG